GAGCGCACATGATTGGAGGACAAAGAGAAAAGGGTTGTGATGGCAGATTTGCATCACAGAGTGATTTTTTAGCGCTATTGGAAAGATGACTGAAAAAACTCTGTTTTCTCCGAAAGTTGAAATAATTAAAGAAAAGTTAAGAGACATAGATGTAAAAATAAGACTGCTTAACTCAGTTTTCCTCTGTGTCAAATGAGGGAATTCTCATTAGTTCAGAAAGAACAGTTCTAATATGATATCAAAGTAGATTTATTAATAGTTATTTACTTCTGGCAGTCCCTATTTTACTTTTTTTGTAGGGCAAAATTTATACTTCTATTGAAAAAACAAAAGTGAAAGCAGTACACTTTCAGATTCTTTATGTTAATTCCCAATATTTTAATTTCAGACACTGAAGTTTAATTTATCCACAAAATATCACAATAACATATGCATAAATGTATGAGTACCTTATAATGTATTATAAAATCACATGTCTTGTTTTCACTGTGGTAAGAGGAAAAAAGTGCACCGTGGAAATTATTTAACTTTTTCTTTCCTCATTCATCTTAAGAAAATGAATCCTCACTGAGTTGAATAAATACACTTGATTTTTTTCAATTTTGCCATTAATTCCAGTTGGTTTGTTTTGTTTAGAGGATAGAGAAGCTGATCCAAATACAATTTCTTTTTTGTTGTTGTACTAAGCAAAAGGGAAGAAATTTATTGGAGCCCATATGGGAAACCCTAGAGGGACCCAGCATATCCTACTGTGTAGGCATGCCCAGCAAAGGGTCACACCACTCCCTGCACCCCCCTGTCCCAGAGGGACTCCCCTTGAGCCAAGCCCCAAAGCCCCAGGACTGGCTGGGGTGGGTATGGAAATACAGGTTCTTAACATTACTGATAAGGCAGCCTGGCTGGTAGTGAGCATTATGATTGTCTGTATGGTATTCATAGATCTGCTCACAAAGGGAAACTAGGCAGTGTATGAAACGATGCACTCCTTAGCACATGGGGTATGAAATGATAAGGAAAACTATTTCCAAATACCCCTGGAATCTGTCAGGTAACATTACTTGAAGTAGCACTAGTTCACCAAGCAACTTCGTGATCAGCTTCATGACATGCGACTGGTGCAGTCACACAGAACCGTGAGTTTAGAAGGACATTCTACTTGGTTTAACATTGAGTTGTCCTCATCTTGAAATTCCTAATATATTTTTAACCTAGGATCCCACATTTTCATCTTTACTGGAACCTGGAAATTATAGCCCATCTCGGTTAAAAGAAGAGGTTTGAAAGACAGAAAACATAATCAGCTGATTTCTTTCTACCTTTGTAAAGACATAATGCTGGTCAATTTTTAGACCTGTTCTGCACAAATACCCATTACTCACAGGAGAGAAACCCTTCCCTCAACCTCCAGGCTCTGTTTTAGTAAGGGATTTACCCATCTGGCTACATACATGGATCCTTGGCAGCGATTGCATTTCAAACTCCCTTGCATCTAAGTGTGACTACAAGGTTGCTTGATCTAATGCAGTGTTTCTCAATCTTCCTAATGCTGTGACCCTTTAATACAGTTCCTCATGTTGTGGTGACCCCCAACCATAAAATTATTTTCGTTACTACTTCATAACTGTAATTTTGTTACTGTTATGAATCAGACAATCCCCGTGAATGGGTCGTTTGACCCCAAAAGGGCTTGCGACTCAGAGGTTGAGAACCGCTGGTCTAATGAGATATGAGTAACCCTTTTCCATGCTTTTTCCGTAAAGACAGAGCCAACCAGAACAGATTCTTTTTTCCTTTCTCCCTTCTCACAAGCTGGAAGGTCAAGGGCTGGTGACTCATCTTTGATTTGCAAAGAAGGATGGCACTCCAGGAGAAGGCAGAGCAAGTAGAGTAGGTAGAACCAGAGCCTTGAAAAATTATCTCCCAGCATGAGTGATTCTACCTGGGTCAAGTACATTCAAGAGCAATAAATCTTGGAACAGATTTATTATAGCAGTTTTCTCTTTGTTATAACAGTTTATCCTCTGGCTTTAACTAATTTTCAGCATAAATTCTTGGGGACTGATTCACAGAAAATTTATACTTACCTGTAATAGATAATACAATACTCTGAGTATTTAAAATGCTATCTAAGGTAGAATGACTAATTTTCAAAATAAAAAAATGACAAAATTATACCAAATTTAATTTTATCTTCAAAGTCTACTAATACAGCTGCATCTTACATTGTCTCAAGATAATCATTTTGAATACTAATTATAGCATAGGTGCTATAATTATATAATTATAAATATATTACAAATATATAATTATAATATAGGTGCTATGACGTGAGTAAACCTACTCTAACCTTGTGATAGCCTTTAGAAGTTGCAGCAGGAAATAACTTCCTGAAACCTGCTAGTTTCATTGTAATTTATGAAGGGGCTTAAAAAGTTGATGGAAAATGGAATGAAAATATCATATAATGTTAGCATGCCAAAATAAATTTACCCTCCAAAAGCAAAATAAAAGAAATAAAAAAAATCAGGGAGAGTTAAATGAGTGGGAAGACAAGAGAACATGCAAAAAATCAATGCAGCCAAAAGTTGGGGCTTTGAAAGGATCAACAGAATTGACAGACTGCTGGCAAGCCTGACTAAGGAAAGGAAGGCGCAAACATCAATAGCCAAAATGAAGGATGGAACAGGGGAATTCACAATGGACCCCAGTGAGATTAAAAGGAGAATCACAAAGTTTTCCAATGAATTCAACAATGTGGAAGGCATGAACAAATACTTGGAAAAACAATCCTTCCCTAGATTATTTCAGATAGAGGTCAAGAACCTCAACAGACCCATAGTAAAAGAAGAAATAGATACAGCTATCAAGAAATTACCAATGAAAAAAGCTCCTGGACCAGATGGCTTCACAGGAGAATTCTACCAAGCCTTCAGGGAAGAGCATACACTTGCCCTCCACAAATTATTATAGAGTCTAGAAAAAGACGGCAAACCCCAAACTCATTCTATGAAATCAGTATAACTTTGATACCCAAACAGGGCAAGGATCCCACAGGAATAGAGAACTATAAACCGATATTGCTAATAAACATAGATGCAAAAATCCTTAATAAAACATTGGTCAATAGAATACGAGTATATATAACAAATCATCTACCATCAGAGGTCCTCAAACTATGGCCCACGGGCCACATGTAGCCTGCCAAGGACATTTATCCGGCCCACAGGGTGTTTTTGCCCCATTTAATATTTTACTTCAAAATAAGATATGTGCATTGTGCATAGGAATTTGTTGATATATTTTTTAAGCTATAGTCGGGCCCTCCAATGGGTCTGGAGAACAGTGAACTGGCCCCCTGTTTAAAAAGTTTCAGGACCCCTGATCTACCATGATCAGGTGGGATTCTTCCTAGGCATGTAGGGATGGTTTAACACCCCCAAATCCATCAATATTATATACCACATTGATAAGAAAAAGTATAAGAATCACATGATAGATGCAGAAAAGGCACTTGATAACATCCAACACCCATTCCTAATTAAGACACTCAAGAAGATAATATTGGAAGGAAAATTCCTCAAGTTAATACAAGCGATCTATGAAAAGCCAACAGCCAATATCTCCAGTAAATGGAGAAAAAACAAAAACAATCCCACTGAAAAGAGGGCCCAGAAAAGGATGTCCCTTGTCCCCACTTCTATTTATGTCTGTGGTAATTACAGAATCTGGTGTCAATTTAGGACTTGAGAGGATTAAGAGTAAAGGGGTGGAGTCTAGTCTGTCAATTGGGTTATAGCCAATGAGGCCTCTGTGTGGGCATGGTCTTCCCCTGAGGATTCTGGGAATTCCTGTATTTCCTCCTTGGAGGCAGGAGACACTTTCTCTGCTTATTCCCTGAGAGATGCTCTACTGACAAGATACATGGCACTACGCTGATAGACCCCATTCCCTGGGCACTGGAGAAGCCACGTGGAAACCCCTGCCAGTGCTGAGATGCTTACAATGCCACTGGATCCACAAGACTTCTCACCCACTGGCCTGTGATCTTCCTGTATTCGGCGTCATTGCATGTGTTTTGTGAGTCTGAAAAGGACTCTGTAGATTGGTATTGGACATATGGACTAATATCGGACTAATGGACTTGATATGGACTGGGCTGGGATGTTTCACCATTTTCAATTGCTCGTGCACATAAGCCTCTTTCTTATACACATATGAGTGTCTATTAATTTGTTTCTGTAGTCTACCCAGACTAACACAACATTGCACTGGAGGTCCTAGCTAACAACATAACACAGTGGAAGGATATTAAGTTATCCAACTGGGAGAGGAGGTGAAACTATCTCTATTTGCAGATGACATGATTCTATATATTGAAAATCCCATAAGCTCCACAATAGGAGTACTGACAGTGATAGAGGAATATGGAAGAGTGGCAGGATACAAGATCAACAAACAGAAGTCTATTGGTTTGCTATATAAATTGGACAAGACTATGGAAGAGCTCAAGAAAGCAGTACCCTTCACACAATAGCCAAGAAAAAATATATCTAGGATATATTTAACCAAAAAAACACAAAAGGCTTATACAAGGAAAAATACAGGCCCCTACTATAGGAAACCAAAGCGACCTCCACAAATAGAAGAATATCCCATGCTCGTGGATCAGAAAACTCAATATAGTAAAGATGTCAATCTTACCCAGGGCACTATATGTATATGCATAGTGCCCTGGGTAAGACTGACATCTTTACTATATTGTTATGAGCTGTAAGAACCCCCAATAAAATGATATTTTAATTAAAAAGTAAAAAAATATATTTAATAAAATTTCTCATCGTTAGAAATTGAATATTGTAAGAGATGTTTTTACCTATACTCCACTGTCTTACATTTTTTCAATGACTAAAACTGCTAAGATGTAAAATATAATGTGCATATATACCAGCAACAAAATCATTAAAGAGTTATGTCTTCAAAAGTTTAGGTTTTAAGTTTACCTGCCCCAATTACTCTCTCAATTCGAATCCTTGAAGGATCAATCTCCTTTGCAAATTCATGGACTGCTAGAGATGGGTCTTCATATGTGTCAGGGTCAATGTATGTTTTTATTCCTGGGAAGCGTACTGCAACAAAATAAAAAAAAATTTGAGCAAAATATTTTAAAATCCATATATCTTGAATATATTTAAGATGTAGAGTGGCATACTGAGGTAGCTATTATTGCTAATTGCTTAAGCCCTCCTCACTTTCTGACTAATATCCTCCCGACTCTGCACCAGAACACTTTGAGTAGTTGGTGTTATAAAACATTTTAGGTAACTATTAATATAAAATAACCAGGTGGTTTTATTAGAGTGAGTTGACAGTTTACAGAAAATGCATTTAAATACTTGTTTCTGAAAAGATTTAATCAATTCCCAGTCTACCAACACCCACACACTTCACATCTGACCTAACTCAGCTGTAAGTTTGATGAGGAAATGAGGTATTTGCTTCCTTTCAAAGCAAGCAAACTCCTTAGACATCCTCCTAGACTATTTACACTCTAAGTACTTAGCTCGTAAAAATTCATGGTCCAGTCCTGTAGATTTTCAGATATTCTTAAGCAGGAAAGACTAGACCCCGTGGCCCACTAAAATAAAGAGCAACTAAGGATGCTGGTCCTGCCTGTGTTCTTACTGTTGCTTCCATGCCAGGTGGCACAAGGTCTAGAAATGCCTTTCCTGTTGAATCTAAAGAGTCGGCATCAAAGGCCCATGACCTGTAGTTGTACAATGTTTGCTATTCCTTTGTGGGGTGCAGAGCTCACTGCTCATGAGCTGTGAGTTTGATGAATAGCGATGCCTACGCAATGTGTGTGTGTGCCTGCTTACATATTGAATTGTGTCTTTCTGAAGTCATCGCCTCTGGTTGTCTGTTGGCCTCTGTTTTCAATTCTAGCTTGCTAGCTCCTGGAGGCCACAAGGCCATGTTTTATATCTTGTTAAATACCTTAGGTATTGTATTACAGATAATTGGCATATAGAAAACCATTTTGAATGCAAATTTGTAGAAATCAAAAGACTAATGCTGAATCTGTGACACAGTGGGCAATACTTAGTTTTGTTACCCTTTCATTTTGAAAGACATACAATACCCCCAGTTAATGAAGTCTAAGTATCCTTAAAAATAGAGTGATACATTTAATCTTTTAGTAAAATACATAAAATGAGTTTGAAAGAGGCAATGAAATATCTTTGGTGGTTAAAAGTAATTTGCCTCGTGAGTTGTTCTATGCCTATTTGCTGCTTTTTTTTTTTAACATTCTGTCTATTGCCATTTTAGTACTATATATTTTCTCAAAATGACACCGATTAAACATATACTTAGATCAGATGATAATTCTGAAATGTTTTAGCTATTCTTGACTCTACAAACTTTAGACCAATAGAAAAGAGAACAGGTCATCTACACCTTTATTTTTATGGTCTATATGGTATTTTATAGCTGGGTAAAAGTTGTGCTTTCAAACTGAGTACTATAAGCTAAAATCCCAGCTATTCTGCCTTTGCCAGAGTAGCTTGTTATTAGATGATTGTTGTTATGAAATGCCTTCGAGTTGGTCTCCAATTCATGGTGACAACTCATGTTTGTTAGGCTCTGTTGGTTACAACTGTTTTAGAGGATTTTCTTGACTGTAGTCTTTATGGAGGTAATTTGCCTTATCTTCCTCCCATTTGGCCACTGGGTGTGTGTAGTCTGGCAGCCAATTTTAAGCTGCTTGTACCACCCTTTTTTTTTTAAACTAGGGGATTGCTGTTATCTAACTGGACATATGATCAAGCTGTTAACATTATTTTTGCTACAGATAACATACTGTTTATTAGCTCATGCACGATTTAAATCATTAAACTAGTTAATTGTTTATGGTAATACATATTCCAACAACATATATTGATTAGTTAACTTCACATTTTTCTTGTAAATACAAAATATGTTGTATAGGAAAAAGCACACTCAAACTTAGCTCTAATTTTGAAAACAGCATTTGGTTATTAATTTACTCATCACTGTCTTCATAAACTTCTGTCTATTATCTTTCTTCTACCTCCTTTCCATCTTGAGTTGTTTTCATTGCTTCGTGCTGGGCCCCTCTGGTTTCATCTATGCTGAACTACTTGATGGAAAAGAGTAAATTCTTCAGGAGTATGGTTTCCCTCAGTACTAAGTACCCTACAGTGAATCTTGAGATTCCCTGCATAAGTCATCTGTCCAGGTGTCTGGATCCAACCTTCTGCATCTGTTTGTGGTGTTTCCAGGTATCCCATACCAGACATCAGTTCTCTAAGCTGTTCACCTCCCTCCCTCTCCTGAGGACCAAGGATCAACTTTATTGTACAAGAGAATAATGGGTTAAACTACATAATTTCAAATGTCTTGGCCTGATCCTGGACTGACTAAATTAGAACTTTGGGGAGTGAAAGGAAAACATTCCAACACACATGTCCATGTATCACATTTTGAGAAACTACATGATCCTTAGTATTGCCCTAAACCATACTATAAGTTTATAACTTTTTTACCTAAATCCTTTCTCTCCCCTGCCTGATAACAAAGATAGAAAAGTCCCATATATCTTTTGTTCATTAAGAAATAAAAGATGAGTTCAATAAGTAGCTTCACATGCTATCTCAAAACTGAAGTTAATTAGTGAACATAATTTTTTGTGTTAATTCAGTGTCTCACCACAGAGGAGCAGTCTTGACAAAGTCGTTTGCAATGTAGAGGTGGAGGTGGGCATTGGGGAGGAGAGTCTGGCAATTATGAAACCACTATAGAGGTAATTATAGCTTGCTTGGGAAGAGATCCTTCAAATGAATATAACCTTGTAGTCAGCTCAAGGATTTCATGCATATTCTAAGAGTTAAGGAACTGATTTTCTTTTCAGTGCTAATGAGTTAGAAATTGATTTGTTTTATGTTTAAATGACAGTTCTTTCAAGAAGGAATAAGAACTCCTTAATATTTCAATGGTGAAGTCTTCACTAAATAAATCCAGTTCATGCCTGGAACCCCTTTGCCTGCTAAATAACTGGCTATAATCAGTCAACTTGTATTTTTAGCAAAGTCAGTCTGCTGTGTTTCCAGCAAGCAGAATTTGGAGAAGGTAATATCATTTAATGAGAAGCAGGTGTGATTTCTACTACAAACCTGGAAAGAAGAAAAATTGTAATGCTGAACGGGTTGCAAGTGATCT